GATGGGTTGCAAGAAGGCTTCCACCAGTCGCTCTGTCAACATCAATCATCCGTGCTGCAAAAGCAGTTGCGATGGGAAGACCAGGGCAAAAAGACAGAAATTTTGGCCACTCTAGCAGGTTCGAAAGTACAAGATATGAGCCATATAGACAAGACCAACATCACAATGAATCTGAGGAGAGACAGCCGTACAACGAGAGACGGAGATCTTTGTCATCGTTGCTCCCTCCAAGAGATGCATTGCTGCATGTGCCAAGGGTGACACCACCGTCCCCCATAAACCATGGAGAATAACAAACACCAGAGGCAGCGCAGAGCTATACACATGTAAGTATCCATACAGAAAAAAATTACAAAGCACAGTCCATACCATGGTGCTGTGACCACCCCATCTAACATTTTTGTTTGATCACTGTTGTGTGCAGCCACCTAACATTGAAGCTTATGTTCTGCCAAGGCTAGAGATGAGGTTTGAAACGTTCGAAGAAAGTAAGAACTTCTATAACGTATATGCGAAGCACGCTAGTTTTGCTGCCAGGGAAGGCCCCAAGTTTAAGACAAGAGCCTACCTTTATTGCACGTGCCATGGAGTTTATGAATCAAAGGTGTCTGAAGCAAATAGACAGCATAACAAGACGACAACCAGAACTAACTGCGGGGCTAAAATGAGTCTGAAGAAGGAAAAGGATGGAACATTTGTCGTAAAAGAGATAGTCTCGGAACACAACCATAGGCTACAACTCACCGTAGAAATGCTTGTCTTCTTGCACTCCCACAAAAACTTTGACAAACCAATCTTGGAGTACATCAAGTACCTACAGTTCAAAGGCATTGAACACGCGCAAATCATGAGCATTCTGGGCGGTGATGACCCTGGTAGCTACTTCCTCGAAATGAACGCCAAAGACCTGATTAACCTATAAGTACAATCTTGTTTTCCTCCCATAAACTGCCTACGTATTTTTTCCTCTGTCAGTACAAACATATCACGCAACGCATGACCTGACGCCAGTTCAACATGCATTTTTGAATGATCTTTTAATATGCAGGAAAGTAAAGAATTCAAGGATGGATGATGTGGACGATGTCCTAAAGACTGTCAACTTCTTTAGGGAGATGAAAGCTATAAACAAAGAATTCTGCTGTGACATGCAGCTCGATGAGTCCGACAGAGTTAAGAACATATTCTGGGCGAACGCAAGCTGTCGAGGGGCGTATCAGGACTTCGGGGACTACGTAATGTTTGACACAACATATAAGACCAACAAGTACCATATGCCACTTGGCGTGTTTGTCGAAACTAACAACCACTTACAGACTACATTCTTTGGTTTTGCCCTGATAAGAGATGAGGATGCAGATTCATTCAAGTGGCTGTTCGAGACATTTTTAAGGTGCATGAGAAGGAAGGCTCCTACATGCATCCTCACAGGTACACCCGCTAAACCCACCCCAAACCACCACCCCCCTTCCAAAAAAGAAAAGGAAAGTAACACAATAAAAATGTTGTGTCAGTTCTATTGGTATATATGCACAACCATCTGCTGACCACTCCGAGTCTATTTTCTCATTACCAGACCAGTGCCCGGCAATGGCTTTGGCGATCGCAGATGTTTTCAAGAACACATTACATAAGCTATGCCGCTGGCACATTATGAAGAAGTATAGGGAACACCTCACGTACTTGTATTTCCTGCATGATGACTTTAAGGATGAATTCACATCAATTCTCAACTGGCCCCTCATGCCAACTGAGTTTGAGGATGCCTGGAAAAGACTGATGGATAAGTACAACCTCCACGATGATGCCACAATGGTGGGCATGTGGAATGAGCGTGAGAAATGGATATCAGCCTACTTCAAAGAAATTTTCTGCGCCAAAATGACATCGACACAGCGAAGTGAGAGCATGAACTATGTGCTCAAGAAGAACTACATAAATGAGAGACATAACCTACACTGGTTTGTCAGCCAGGTAAACTCCTGCGTCAAAACCAGGAGGCAGACAGAGAACCAGGAGACAATGGGTAACCGGGTATAGCTCTATCACTTGTCATAAGACAAAAAATTACATGCCTACTAAAGTAAAAACTTTATTAGAAGTTTTTCCTGCGAGAAAACTAACAATTTGGTCATCATTCTTGCATCTGCAGAAGGAACAAAACACGCTGACCTTCTATGGGTTTGACACCCAGATGACAAAGCTGTACACACGAGCTGTGTACAGCGAGATCAGAGATAGGCTAAAGCTGAGCACTCTCTTCACGGCGACAGAGACGGAAGAGCCCACAAAGTACCTAGTGTGCTACAACCACCCGTAAAAACTCTCTGTGTGGGCTCAGCACGCGTTCCAGGTGGTTGCAGACCCCGTGGGATAAACATATGAGTGTGAGTGCAGGCTATGGGACCACACTGTACTACTTTTTTTGCAAAGTTTTTGTTCGAATGAAATAACAAAAAACATGCACCTCTTCCAAAAACAAATACAGGTCTTTTCTGCGTCCATGTCCTGTGCATGATGCAGACAATTAAGGCTGAAAGCATTCCAGAGAAATACATACTCAGGAGATACACCAAACGCCCAAACATCCAGCCAACATTTGACAGAAATGACTTGAGGACAGTAGCGTCAAACAAGGCATCCCAATACTGCATTAAAAGCTCACTGCTGACGCTGAACATGAGGGTGCACAGAAAAAGCTTCAGAAGCCAAGAGCAAATGGCCAGGACGCGAGTCGTCATGGACAAACTTGAATAAGAACTCAACGCCATGCATTCTGCTGAAAATGGAGGTGTCGCGGACAATGAAGCCATTGAGCAGGATATTGCTACAATGTTATCCGAGATGAACCATATGGGAACTATTGACCCGTTTGAGAACGAGGAAGATGAGCAGCAGCAACCGGAGATTGCCCGTGTGCACACTCCAGAGCAACGACAAACTCACATGCGAGATCATGAGCTCGATGGTGCTGTAGGCGAACGACATGACAATAGCACATCCTACCAGCAACAGCAGGAAAAGGTGATTAAACCCCCAATATTCTCAAACACAAACGGGAGGAAGAGCAACACGCAAGCACCGAAAGCTGCTAAAGCAGCAGCCAAAAAGCCACCACGCCCCATCAAGCGCGTGAAATTTGGCCCGAACGGCAAACCCCTCGGGGTAAGGGCATGCGGATTCTGCAACGTCGTGAGCAACCATAACTACCGCACATGCCCACTCCGCACAGACGCCATTGTCAACAAGAACAAGCAGATTGGTGCCACCTAGCTTTCTACCAATGGAGACAACACACGTAATAGCTACACTTGCCGCAAGTGTGGCGGAACTGACGGGCATAATGCCTGCATGTGCAAAGTGGGCAAGGAGGTCAGTGGAGCTGAACATGAACAGGGCAACGTACAGAGTTCCAAGCAATGAAATGAAGACGATGAAGAAGAAGAGTTTGATGACAATGACGGCCAATCAGACGAAGACAATGAAGATGACAGTGTCGGGGGCGAGGAAACTGAAACTGACGATGAAGCTGCCAAGGCTCAACCTGGAAAGAGCGCCGGCAAGACACAACATTCGGGGACAGTTAGGAGAAGCTCAAGACTGAACAATACATAGTGGTTTTCCTGCTGCGTCAACTAAAAAATAACCTTGTAGTCTCAGTTGCATCAGCACACAATGAGGAAGCATTTCACAAAACACTGTTGTTACCAAAACTTATTTAGCTTTATCGTCGATTTCTCTATCAGAACTAAAGTTATTTTTTAGTTTCTGATTTGTTCCTGCTGAAGCAGTGACATTATTATGTAAACCATTTGATAATCATTTTGAATGCAGTCACAAAATACGTTTGAAAAAACTTATCTGGATATATCAGATGCAAAATGCTACTGTGAACCAGTAACTCAGGGAAAAAATATGTCAAGGAAAATTTAAAACTCTTGTAGCACATCAGTACTGATAACTCTCATTCATCAGTACAAGGCAGAGTACACATCAGTGCTGATATAATTTCTGATTTGTGCCCGCTGAAGCAGTGACATTATTATTTAAACCATTTGATAATCTTTTTGAATGCAGTCAAAAATAAAATTGAAAAAACTTATCTTGATATATCTGACGCAAAACGCTACTGTGAACCAGTAACCCAGCAAAAAAAATGTCAAGGAAAAATTTAATCTCTTGTATTACATCAGTACTGATAACTCTCTGTCGGCAGTACAAAAGGCATAGTAATAACAAACACACCAGTGAACGACTGGAAAAAAATCGGTTTGAAAAAACAAAGCTATGCCTTCTCCTGCCAGTCCCAATTCAGAAAGACTATGAGTACATAAAAATAATTACCTCAAGCAAAATGCGAATATAATACATCCTGTACTAGTGAAAATCTAATTAATCTGTAAAAAATACTCATAGGTTATCTTGATATAAACAATCCTTAAAAAAATACGAAAATTGTTTTAAAAAAACATTAGCACCACACATAGTCTCGCTGATAATTGGTACGTTCAATCACACTTCAATCACCAGTTTGAGTATGACAGTAGAGGAGTTCAGACCTCCACCAACACCGACACTGACACGTGCAAGTGGGATAAGCAGCTGATAAGTACAGCTTGACTATTCGAATCGGTGCCACAGTAAAATGCCATCATCACCACCGCAGAGATGCGCAAGTGCGATTTTGCAGGTCATAAGTACAGCTTGACAAGACTAGTCAGTTCAACAATAAAAACCATTTAAATTGGACGGTTAGTTCTTCGACACCGCCACCCGCGCCACCCACTGGGAAGTTGCCACGACGCACTGCAAATGGTGACCCCCCACGACCACTACACACACGCCCCCGACGAACCGCCTCCCACACACCACCGTCGGTGCACTGAAAAAATACCCCATTGTATTCCATCTCTCCCTCGTTCCCAGAAACAACCCTTGCCGCTTCCATTTCCACTGCACACAAACCTCCAGCGTCTCTCTCCAAAGCCCAAAGTCACCGGATGAAGGCCATGGCAGAGGAACCATCCGCCAAGCGTCATCATGCCGAGACGTCGAACAAGAGGAGCAACCTCGTCGACATTAAAGTCCCTGGCGAGAAGCGCAACTACACCAGAACGCTCGAACGGGTTGAGCTCCATGGCAAGGAGACGCTGGAGATCGTCTGCACCAGTGAACCAGACAAGGCCGACGAGGTGATCTCCAGGATGTGGATGAAGCTTGGCGGCAGGTTTCGTAGGATCGTCGGCGTTGGTGTGTACTACACCAACGAAGATTAACCTCCCCAGATGGCGGCAGTCCTGCAGTTGTGCATCGACGAACTCTACTTGGTGTACCACATCACCGCGGCCACAAAATGGTGAGCAATCCTACTCATTTGCCCTGCATATGGTTTGTCTATTTTATTTGTACTGTAGTTTATGAAGTTGATACACACCATTTTGTGAAGATTGCTACAATATATGGTTTATGAAGTTTATTTTCTTCACTCATTTGCCCTGCATATTAAATTCTGAAGTTGATCGACTGGTGTAGTTTATGAAGTTGATAAAATAGAGTAGTCTATGTACTTGATGTATTAAAATAGATGTTTCTGAACTTGATGTAGTGAAGTATTTTCTGAATTTGATGTAATGTTATTTTCGTAAGAAAATAAACTAAGGACTTGGTGAAGCACTGGTTCTGTGTTATCCTATTCCAACAAAAGTAGACTAAACTAGTACCAATGCAGAACATACAACATTGACTGAAACTATGTATAATCCAAGAAGAATAATAACATGATGTACTTAATTTAATTTCAGAACTTTCTTTACTAGTTTTTGAAGTACATTCATCCATTGTTTATCCTACATAAACAACTACTTCATGGATTCATCACTTGTAAAACAAAACAAAAATGGATAATTCAAACATCAAAGTAATGCTAATATTCAAAATGTCTCTACCCTTGCAGTCCCAAGCGCCTGACCGACATGCTGCAGCATGACAAGTTGTTCACATTTGCCGGTTTCAGCATTGAAACCGACAAAGAGAAGCTGAAGTTGTCCGGTATGGAGATCAACGCCAACAAGTTCATCGACATTCAGTGCAAGTGGAGAGTTCCATACACCGGAAAAGAGTACGACTCCTTGACTGATGTTGCAGCCAGCGTCATCCACCCATTCTACAAAGGCATGAAGAACAAGATCAACACGCAGGAAGACTACAAACTGTGGGGGACAAGCGAGCTGCCAGACAACCTCATCGAGTACGCAAGACTGGATGCGTACGCCGCGTACAAGTCATGGTTCATGATCGACTACGTCATAGATGGTTCAGAATTTGCGAAAGAGCGGGAGGCTAACAACTTCTACGGCCACCCCTATTGCCCCTTTTAGGGATGAATATACATCAGAGCCTGCCTTCATTTTACTTCCCCTTGTGCTTGCCTTTTATCTTGTTTCAAATTAGAAGTTTGCTCTTGTTGGGTTGAACCAGTATGATTATGTCGTGCTTGTCATGTTTGAACAAGTTTAGTTATGTCATCAAGTACAATGTTTTGCTTATCTCATTATATAAGTTTGGTTTGGTAGTTCGTATGTTGTTAATCCATCATTTCAAAATTGAAAAGTAGCTTCTGAATGGAACGTTGTCATTGCTCTAAAGTACTAGTTATGATGCAACTAATCACATAACGTTGTTCCATGTCAGCACAACTCAGTACACTTGATCAAACATTGCATACTTACTACAATAAAAAGTACAAAGAAGCATGAGTCCGTAAGCGCTACTATGAATGCACTATCAGTAGAACTCAGTCTACACGCAAGTATCATAGTTCTGAAAATGACACCAGAAGACACTTGAGAATAATCACAAAAACAAACACAAAAAAGAAGGCAAAAAACTCAAACGAAAAAAGATTACGCTCACACAAAACTGACAAGAACTAGAACAAAAAGTATCAGTCCAAGTTACTGGAGGAGTCAAGTACTAGATTCAAACAAACAAAAAAGTTGACCTCCCAAGGTCAGGCGCAGGCCCTGACAATGCTAGATACTTGAACTCGAGCCCGTGGGCGAATCCCTAGTAATCCGCACAACGCAGGACACGCTGACCAGGGCCCACAGGTCAAGAGAGAGAGCGAGCGCCATGTATAAGCGCTCAGGTAAGTGTTCAGAGGAGTTCGACTGGTGAGCGTCCGCTGCGCTTATAAACAGGTCCGGAGCCCCCTCGACTAGCGAGGTGGGACTAAACCCAGAGCGCACGCGCACGACGCACTGCACAGGCGCGCGGATGAGCTATCTGGGTCGGAAAACGGCCCAATAGCCTACATCGTCAACAAAACACCCCACCAAAATAAGCCCATGTATACAAACCAGATGGCGGGACAAAGAAATATAAACCACAAGAAAAATGTTTGTCAATTAACCTCTATAAGAAAAAAGGAAAAAATATGATACAAAAACAATGAACCTCTTAAAAGAACAAAACTTATTACCCTTTCTGTTAAATGTACATAATTTAAAAAACAGAATTAAATATTACTTTCAAGTTCAACTACTAAAACTAAAAAAGTTCAAAACATATAATGTTTGTCAATTATGCTAAAATTCTTATTTATATAAAAACTGACAAGTTCAACTACTAAAGCTCAAAAAGTTCAAACATATAATGTTTGACAACTATGCTAAAATTCTTATTTATATAAAAATTGACAAATTCAACTACTAAAAATCTAAAAGTTCAAACATATAATGTTTGTCGATTTTGCTAAAATTCCTATTTATATAAAATCTGACAAGTTCGACTACTAAAATTCAATAAGTTCAAATAGAATTTACTTGTCAATTCTGCTAAATCTATTATCTATATATAATCTGTCCACACCACAACGAACGATCTGGTCGTAAAATAATCTCAAACCCCCACCGCCAACCTAAGTTATAAAAAAAATCAGTTCAAACATACATACAACATCAGTACTAAAACAGCCAGATCCACTCGCACCACTCTGACATCAAATTTCAAACCCGTGCGCTGTTTGAAATTACAATTCAGTTCACACAGTACTAAAACACAAGTACACTAAATATGCGAATACAAAAACTATAAAGGCCTAACTTAGGTTGGTACAGATGAAAATAAAATAAGTACAATTTATGAGCAACAACTCCCAGGGCACTGAAAAAATGTTTTGACATACACTAGTGTATAAAGGCTTTAATAGAAAAACAATACTTAAATATCCACACGAAAAACATCATAGATCCATAAGTACAACTTTACTATACGAATCGGTGCCACAGTAAAATGCCATCATCACCACCGCAGAGACGTGCAAGTGGGATTTAGCAGATCCTCAGTACAGCTTGACAAGACTAAACAGTGCACCAGTAAAAAACATTTGTCTTGGACGGTTAGTTCTTCCACGCCACCACCCGCGCCACCCACTGGGCGGTTGCCACGACGCACTGCAAACGGCGACCCCCGACGAACCGCCTCCCACACACGCCCCCGACGAACCGCCTCCCACACACCACCGTCGGCGCACTGCAAAAATACCCCATTGTCTTCCATCTCTCCCTCGTTCTCACAAACCACCATTACCGCTTCCATTTCGACTGCACACAAACCTCCAGCGTCTCTCTACAAAGCCCACAGTCGCCGGAGGAAGGCCATGGTGGAGGAACCGTCCGCCAAGCGTCATCATGCCGAGACGTCGGACAAGAGGAGCAACCTCGTCGACATTAACGTCCCCAGTGAGAAGCGCAACTACACCAGAACGCTCGAAGGGGTTGAGCTCCACGGCAAGGAGACGCTGGAGATCGTCTGCACCAGCGTACTAGACAAGGCCGATGAGATGATGAGCAGGCTCAGGACGAAGGGAGGCGGCTTGTATTCGAGCTTCATTGGAGTTGATGTGGAGTACACCGACGAGGAAAAACCTCCACATATGGCGACAGTCCTGCAGTTGTGCGTCGAGGAACTCTGCTTGGTGTACCACATCGCAGCGGCCACACAATGGTGAGCAATCCTACTCATGCCCTACATATGGTTTATCTGTTTTATTACTACTGTATCTTGAAAATTTAATCACACTTGTTTCCCAACTAGATGTACTAGTGTGGTTTGTAGTGAAGTATATTCTGAATTTGATGTAATGTTATTTTCGTAAGAAAATAAACTAAGGACTTGGTGAAGCACTGGTTTTGTGTTATCCTATTTCAACAAAAGTAGACTTAACTAGTACCAATGAAGAACATACAACATTTACTGAAACTATGTGTAATCCAAGAAGAACAATAACATGATGTACTTAATTTAATTTCAGAACTTTCTTTACTAGTTTTTGAAGTACATTCATCCATTGTAACTCATACTACTGTTCATTCATCTGTTGTACCAGTACTAGTCACTAAAAACTTAATTAAAAATTGTTTCCCAGCTAGATGAACTACTATAGTCTATGAAGTGGATGTGCGATTACATGTTTATCAAGTTACACGCATTTTCTGAAACTGTGAAGTGGATTGTTTCACCAGATCAGCATCTGCAAAAAAGTTTATAGCATTCTGAACTTTATGCACCAACTTAATTTCTAAACTTCATGAACTAGCATAGATTCTGATCTTGATGCACTACTATAGTTTATAGAATTGATGTATTAAAAGATCTTTGGTGAAGTGGTATAGGTCCATATCTTGATGCACATGTTTCTCAAACTAATTTTTGAACTTGATATAGAATTAATGCACAAAGATGTATCAAGCACTGGTATAGGTCTTTTATTCCACAAAAAAGAAAACTAAACTTGAATCAAGCAGTGCATATATCATTGACTCTGGTAAAATGATTCTCTAATTTGGTGAAGCATTTGGTAAAGCAAAGAAGATAGCAAAAAAGAAAAAATAACACGGTGTAGTTAAATTTAATTTCGGGACTTTGTGTACTAGTTTCTGAATTAGATTTATGCATGACTCATAATATATAAGCATCTACCTCATCGATTATCACTTGTAGAACAAAAAAAGCAGAAGAATTAAATCCTCAAAAAAGAAGACTAATCTTTAAATGTGTGTCTCCCACCTTGCAGGCCCAAGAGCCTCAAAGACTTCCTGCAGGAGGAGAAATTGTACACATTTGTCGGTTTCAGCATTGGAGGTGACAAGCGGAAGCTGGAGAAGTCTTGTTTGGAAATCAACCCCAACAACTTCATCGACATGCAGCGCAAGTGGAAAGATCCAAAGACCGACAAATACTACGACTCCTTGGCCGATGTTGCAGGCGGCGTCATCCACCCATTCTACGAAGGCATGAAGTAGAAGATAAACAAGGAAGACACCAAACTGTGGGGGAACAGCCCGCTGCCAGACAACCTGATCACGTACACAGGAATAGATGCATACGCAATGTATAAGTCATGGAAGAAAATCGACAACATCGTGACAGGTTGGGATATTTCAAAAGAGCAGGAGGCTGATCCCTACTACCACTGCAACTTCGCGGATGAAGATGCATGAAAGTCTGCATTTGTTATGTTGAACCAGCTACCTTATGCTGTGTGTGTCCTTAGAGTTGTTGTTTCAGATTTGTAGTTTGCTTTCATTATGTTGAACCAGCTACCTTATGCTATGTGTGTCAGGGTTTGAACAAGTTTGCCTATGTCTATCAAGTACATTGTTTGCTTATGTCGTCCAACAAGTTTGCTAGCTTCCTATTTTGTTCATCCATGATTTGAAGTTGAAACTTGATGGCTGCCACGCAACACTAGTCATGGAGAAAAAAAATAACACATGAATATTTTTGCAAAAAAGTGGCAGACTAAATAAAGGCCAAAAGCAAATAGTAGCCTTCCATGCTCAGTACAACTTAGACATGAACGGTGGTACTATCACGCTAAAAAAATCAGTTTTTAGTTTTAGAAGAACACTAAAAAGACTAAGTTTCAGCCGAGGACAACATTCAGTACTAAAAAGCATCGTGCTAAAAAGTAGTTAGAAATTCACTAAGTACTGCATCATGAAAAGCAAGAGAAACACCAGTACGTATTTCCTAGTCACTAGCATCCTAGGACTAAAAGTTCTGGTACAGTTGAACACACGGTACGTTCATTCTACAAATATATAAAAAGGAACGGGAAGCTTCAGTTCGCATTCCTGAAAGCAGTGACATACTAAGAATTAACAGTGGCAATACAACTGAAATCTCAGTACAACTAAGTCTATACGGCAAGTGATAGGACCAAACATTGCCTGGAGAAGAACCACAACCTAGAAAAAAAGAAGGCCAATAACTTAATCAAAAAGATATAAGTTCAACAAAAAGAGAAAAATCACAAGAAACACAACAGAAGCCATACTAGCATCAAACAACACAAACAATAAATAATTAATCA